AATACACATAATTTCAGCATTTTTTTTACTTATTTCTAGATCGTTTTTCCAGTATGAGGTGGAGTAGAGTTTAAAGTTCAGCAGTTCTCCTGGTACCATGTCTTGTCCGTGTCCCTCAACCACTGGGCCTCCCTGTCACCATCTGAGCATGTCTGTCTGATCTCGCTGCTGAACTCATGGAGCTGTGAACCCGCCTTCACGCTCTGTGGATTCCTGGAATCCTGAATCTGTCTGTTCCTGTTCGGATCAGAACCCCTTATGGGGCTACGGATTCCCGGATCTTAGAGCTGTTCCTGTCTGATCTGTTTCCCTGACCTGGATCTGTCTCCTGCCTGCTCACTGAGATTGCTGCATAAGGAGAACTCTGTGCCGCAGCTCGTTTGGCATTCCAGCGGCTGGATCCTGCCTCGCTTGGAGAGGCTGGACTGAACTGTTAAACCAGGTATGTGACTCACCCGTCAGATGATGGGGGTCACCTTCCTGTTTCTTCCACCTGACTGTTTTGAAACAAAATGTATCTTTCAATGAACTCATGTCATCTTTACAGGAGCAATCCCGGACCACTGATCTTGCTCAGGGACCCGGTGGCAGTCTGCCCGCTTTGAACCAGGACCGTGGAGCCATCTCTAGAACATAAGCTCTATATTCTCAATGCTGGGGTTTAAGACTGAACTACCCATCATATTATTTGGCCCCACCTAGTCCCACGTAGTCCTCTGCTGGTCCCCAGAGTGTTAGGAATCCAGTTTGTGAGGGTTGTGCTTTTGTTTGTCTTCCCTCCACCACCAGGTGGCGCCTGCTCTCGTTGGCCTCCTCACACACCTGCGGATGGTTACCTCATCACCGGAGGACTCTTAAGCTGCTGACTGCCACTACCTCGACGCCAGAGTGTTTGCCAGTTTTAGGGAATCTAGCCAAGCTGAGTTTTGCTGAGTCAAACTGAGTTTTTGTCTACCGGAGTTTTAACCTTGCTGTTTTTGTCTTTGCCTCTCGGCAGGAAGTCATCCTGCAAACTGGATGTTTTGGACCCACCCAAGGAAAAGCACTATTTGGGGGCGACGTAGGCCAAACAATAACTTGTGCATGGGCGACATCCCACGGGCACACTGCCAGATGGGCAGCTTTTGCTTCCTGGTGTGACGATAGGGGGCTGGACCCCATAGGTTGTCCCATTTAACCCTTACTGGCCTTCCTTCAAGGGTTACTTAACCGGGGGCGGTCCCCTTCCACCTTGAAGGTCTATGTGGCTGCCATTTTCCGTTAGCACACTGGATCCACACTGGATCTGCTCTTTTGGAAAATGTAGGGACATAGTGCTATTGATGATTGCATCCTCCAAGGTGTCGGGTGGCTCCTACCTGGGATCTTCATTTGGTGATTGAAGCTCTTCATTCCCCACCCTTTGAGCCGATTGCAGCAGTGGATCTAGAAAGGCTCTCAATGAAGACTGCCTTCCTGCTGGCCGTGGCTTCTGGTAGACGAATGGGGGAACTGCATGCCCTGTCTGTATCCGAGCCTTGTTTTCGGTGGAACCTGGATGTGATTACACTATGGACCAATTCTTCCTTTGTCCCGAAGGCCCCAACAGTGGCAGGCACAGTCTTGCCGCTTCAGCTGTCTCGCTTTGAGCCAGGGACCCGTTCTGAAGCTATGTGTCGAGTCAGAGTGTTGGAGGCCTATGTCTGCACCACACCGACCATTCGGCTGACTGACAGCCTCTTTGTATGCTATGCTGGCCCTTGGCTAGGTCGTGCCCTTTCCAAGCAAAGGTTGGCCATGTTGGGTTGTGGGGGCGATATCTGTGGCATACTCTCCGCAGGGTCAGCCCCTGCCTCAGGGAGTGCGGTGCCACTCTACAAGCAGCCTGTCAACCTCATGGGTTGCAATGAGGGGGGTGCCGCTGGAGTCCATCTGCGAGGCGGCCTCATGGTCTGTGACGACCACTTTCATGAGGTTTTATTGGGTTAACATGGCTATGCCTCATCCTCTTTAGGACATCCTACAGCAACCGTGGGGTGCTAAGGTAGGTGGTGCTGCCAGGTTCTGGCGAGTTGTTCCTTTCTTTCTGCATTCCTCGGGACCTGGTTGGCATACGTCATTCAGTGCTTGAAGCACTGCCTCTGGCGGTCAGTAGGGATGAAATAGAACGAAAGTTACGTATGTGACTACGGTTCTATGAATCCATGACTGCCAGAGCGTTTGGTCCCTTGGTATTGCTGGCTCACGGTAAGATTGAGGAACTGACCTACCGGTGTCACGTGCCGATATACTCTTCCGCTGATCGCCGGTTGGTCACAGGTGAATTTGTTGATACTAATTCTCGAGTGATCATTCAGTGCTTGAAGCAACGCCTCTGGCGGTCATCCAGGATTCCTAGAACCGTAGTTACATACGTAACTTTCATTTTCAGTTATTCTGTTTTGTTGATCTTTGGTATATTTTCCATTATATCCAAGCAGTCTTTAGTTACTCTCTGCTGCCCCCTTGTGCTCCTTCTAGTTAGTTCCACTCACACCTGCTCCTTATTCAGCTTATTGGTCAGCTCATTAGTCCATCCTTTGTTCTTTTCCCCTTATATACTCCACCTCTGCAGTAACTCACTGCTGGTTCCTTTTTGTTGTTTGTTGCTTCCTCATCTCTGGCTGCCCATGTGAGTTCTATTTCAACTTTAGTAATTATTATAGTACCCCTTCACTGAACATACACCAATTAAAACTGAAAATATGATGTTACATAACTAAAAGTCTGCATTTATTCTAGCTTTGATAATCGTCAGATACAAACTACCAACTACTGCATGATAGTTTGAGACTATATGGATGAGAGATTGTTTCCGCATAGAAATGACATTTTCCTGAGGTGGAAAACAGATGGGGGAGTTTTCCCTCCAGACTGAACTGGTTAGCAAGAGATGTTTTCGGTAGGGAGGTGAGTACATTCCTGCTGTCTCTAAGCCCTGCTGAGACCTCTGCTCTTTCTCAACAGCTGCACCACCTTGATTACCCTTTACAGATATGTTCTCTAGCTTTCCTCTGCATCTCTGCTAATTGCTGTTTCTAAGGGCGGAAGAAAAGTAATAAAGGTCATGCCAAGAGTTTGCTTTCACCGACGAAATACATCACTGCAATTTCTATAGCTTAAAGTTAGCATTTTTTAAGTCATCTAAATTATCTTAGCAGTTTAAAATGGTTAAGATTTTTTTCTCTAATATGTTAACTAGCACTACATGTTTTAATCAGACTTCCTGCTTCTAGGAAAATCCCTTCTCACCCTGATCTGGTTACACAATGAGTGGACTTCAGCCTGCTTACAAGGTCTTTAGAAAGACATTCAGGTTTTTACGTTTTGACACAAAACAGCAAAATGTGGTTTATTTTACTGTGATAATATGACTTCCTTATATTGTTTTTATTTGAAATGTTCTGTGTGCCTGTTTGTTTTTGGTAAGAACAAGAATTTTCTTTTACCTTCATGTTCTGATTGGAGACTCTGGGCAGGATTCACTATTCAGTTCATATCAATTCAATTCAGTCTATTTCTATAGCGTTAATTCACATCATA